AAGAGAAGTTACAATGTAACAAGCCTGGCTCTTCCGGAACTAGCTCTTCTAGACCAGGTTGGTCTGCAAGTCACAAGAGATCTGCAGGCTTCTTCCTCCCAAGTGCTGGGATTAAAGGTGTCCACCACCAATACCTGGCTAATTGTAGGCTGAACTTCCTTCCTTCCTTCCTCCCTCCCTCCCTCCCTCCCTTCCTCCCTTCCCTTTTCTTTCTTTTTGACTGAATTTCTAATAAAAGCTTAAGTTTAAAAAAATTAGTCAAAAGAACTGCCTATGAAATTCAGCATTATGTACTATGAATCGGTACTAATAACCATTGTTAATTTCCTACTTTCCCCCCTAATTTTAAAAATGTTTAGAGAGATACATAAAATGATACTAGTCATAGCTGGGTGAAAAATAACAAAGTCTATATGATTGTTGTTGCTATTTTGTCAATCTAAATTAACATTATTTCAAAATTGGTTTAAAGCCAGTCATGGTAACATCCATCTCTCATTTCAGCATTTAGGTGGCAGATGCAGGAAGATCAGGGATTCCAGGTCATCCACAGCTATGATCCTAGTCTGGATTCCATAAGAGCATGCCTCGATAAGTCAAGAAGAAAAATGTTTTCAGTAGTTTTCTTTAATTATATATACTGACTTTTCTTCTTTAATCATTATTTAATTTTTTCATACAATATAATTCAATCATACTTTTCCTCCCCCCAACTCCTTCCAGAGTCTATCCAAACAATTCAGACAAATTACTGGACCTAAATCATTTTTAGGAGGTGGAATGCTGACAAACTGGACTACAGCCTTTATAAGTCATGTAAAATCAATCATGAACCTATAAGATGGCTCAGTAAGTAAAGGCATGTATAAATTAGGCTGACAACCTGAAATTGATCCCCTGGACCCACAAAATAGAAGACCTCACTCCTAAAAGTTGTTCTCTGACCTCCACACATGCGCCAAGACATGGCAAGATGTCTTGCACCCTGATCCATGCTATACAGAACCACCACTGGCTTCTGGTCCACAACACTTCTTAGATCGCCCATATATTTAAATCAGCCCTCATTGTTGCTGACTTGTGGTTTAATATTATCTAACTAACCCAGATTTCTTGTTGGTGGTTGGTTTGTTAGTCTTTCAAGACAGGGTTTCTTTGTGTAGCCTTGGCAGTCCTGGAACTAGATCTATAGACCAGGCTGGCCTCAAACTCAGAGAGATCTGCCTGCCTCGACCTCCTGAGTGCTGGGATTAAAGGTGTGTGCCACCCCTACTAGGTGTGAGTCCAATTCTTAATTTCTACCCTTAGACCTAACCATTTACCTAGAGTGTAAGCTAAATTATGTTTTGCCTCTATTTTAATATTGTAAATAGCCTTGAAATCTAGTGACTAGTCTCTTTGATGCTCTTAACAGTCTAATTGCTAAAACATACCTAGGTTTATGGCATTAGGAGTAGAAGGATTAGTTACGACTACTGAATAATAGTTTAAGGGCGGTAAGTCGCTTTTACAAACGTTTTACACACATTAGACTTGACTACGGCTGTTCTGGCAAAATGTTAATATCCATGGCACTATCAGAAACCCAGTGAAAATTTCCTCCTAGGCAAATAGTATGATTGCTACTGAAAAAAAAAGGGGGGAGCAGCTTGGCCATGGTGCTTGAACACTAAAGTGATGGATGCCCATGGACAAAAGAATGAAATCCACTTCTTATCCCATGTTGTGTTCTAGGTGTCATTTCTACTTGGCTTTCCATATTTCTTGAAATCATATTCTTAGCGTATGTGGCAATGGCAGGAATTTGTATTTGTATACTCTGGGTGGAATGTATGTATACCAAGCCATTTCTTCCTTATAGTTGATTTTAAAAGTAACTTGTATGAAACCAAAATTGAAAATGAACATCTATCACTATTGGACA